TAATTTGAAAAATAGTTCTCTGGAGTAGTATCCCAAACTAAACAATAATTGGGTAGTACAGTGGGTTGCCCATCACCTGGGAGACAGGGACCACATTCACTCTGGAATGATAGGATTAAAATGTTTGTCAACTTTAGGCAGTAGACCTGAGGCTTACTAGTTCCGTCTGTAAGATCCAAAACAGCCAGTTCATCCAAACGGAGCAGAAGGGGTAGTTTATCCTTCTCCCTCTTTTACTATAATAATAATAATAATCCTTGCATTTGATATAGCGCTTTTCACGTCGGGGGGACGTCCCAAAGCGCTTCACAGAACACACTGTAAAGTGAATTGACTGTATATTTGTGGGCGAACGCGGCAGCCAATTGCGCACAGCAATGTCCCACAAACAGTCGTGGATTGAAAATGACCAATTTATTATTGTTTCTTTTTTGCGGTATTGGAGGGATTATTATTAGGCGTGTGGAGTAAGGAAACTTGCCCAAGGTTTCGCCCTGTGCCTGGAATTGAACTCAGGTCTCTCACTTGCAAAGCGAGTGCTCTAACCACTGAGCTACAGGACTCCACTATGGCTCCAGTGGTAAGATTAAGCTTGGAGTACGGTGACAATACCCATAGAAGCAACAATCCTACCTCATTGATACTGCAGCAGTATACGCAAAAGGCTAATCTCATTCACAGTGTTATAATATGAATGAATCCCTCTTTCCCCTATTCCCCTTCCCAATCTGCACAATAACCCTGTACTAAAATGCTGCTCCACAATCACTTGTAGTCTGATGTTTTGTGTGAATGGAAATGTTCAACTAAATAGTTAGTTATGGGCTATGCAAGAAAAACATCAGTCTTTTCACCTACCCTTTTTTAATAATAGTAATCCTTGCATTTGATACAGCGTCTTACCACGTCTTCAACGCGTCTCAAAGCACTTCATTTTAGCTGATGTTTGTTTGCAAGCAGGAATTAGACACTGGCTGAAATATGGAATTCTCTGACACAACCACTGTTGAGGCACAGTCCATAAATTATTTCAAGAGAATTAAATAATAATGAAAAAAGAGGAATATTAAAGACTATGTGGAGCGAGCAGTGAAATTAGATTACGTGGCTAAAGTGCAGAGAAACTCTAGATTGTTAAAATGTGGCAAATCTATGCTGTAACGTTCCATGATTTAGGTTGCATATCTGCTTGGCTGGAAATGGCAGAATGGAGGCTTATTTAAAAAAACAAGCAAACAGAAATAAACTGGCTTGGTTCTATTCCACCTCCCAATACAGTATGCATTAGTCTTCGCATTAACCACAGTAAATCAAAGATGCATCATTCTTTACTAAAACCCACTGGAAGTTAAACCACCACACCACTAACCTTTTAACATTTCTGATTTTTATATTTAGAAATACCTTCACGCTCCATGTTAGATATCTTCTTCTAAATCAGGTTTCAGCAGCCTAGACACTCAGTCACCAGTCCACTCTCTGCTGCACTTTAAATGGTCCGTGCAATCCTTTCTGACGTCACCATCAGTCATCGCTTAAGAGCTTGTACTATTTACTACTCACATTCTTAAACATTTTTGTCTTTAAAAAAATGTCAAACTCGGCACAGAGTCGCTTGACCTCTGCAAGTTAGATATAGTTTGGTGTTCTTAAGGTCCTTTCAGGGGCTTTAAAGCTTAGCAGGTCCATTCAAACGGTTCTATTGTCTGTACATCAGGCAGACACATTGCAGGAAACATTTGATTGTCAGAAGTCCCAGTTTAACAATATGATGTAAGCTAAACCTACAACTGATACAAATATCTACTATTATTGTTTTTCAACACAAAACTCATGCAGACTTTAACACTTTGTCCTGCTAAAGTTAATTCGTGAATGGTTAAAGACATCTTGAAAAACACTTCAACGGAGTTCGCCAATGAAATTGGGGGCACGATTAAGAAAAATAAAATCGACTGATCACCTTGTAATTACAGGTTAAACTATATGGGTCACCGATATATTGGAGGGCACGTGGAGAATCTGAGATAGATAGGTATCATTTTGTTTTGGTCAGCCAGATGTCCTACATGTGGAAACCCATCAGTATGCTTAAGAATAACAAAATCAAAGAGAGTTTCATAGACATTCCATCTACTCATTAAAGTTTTCCTGCATCTGGAATGGAATGAACAGCCTTTCCATGAAAGGACTGGACTCATCCTGCTTACAACAATAGCAGCTTGCATTTATGCAGCCCTTCACTCAGGATAGAGTCTCGAAGTGCTGCAGAGTGGCAGTGTTGGATGACAAGCAAGAGAGAAATGGGAGTTGAATGTAGGCATGGGATTTAAGGATAGATGAAGACGGGGCAAGAAGAAGGGACAGAGATAGGGAGTACCCTACCCAATTCCAGAAAGCAATTGGTGGATGTTGGGGCAAAAACTGCATAGCTTGTCATTGCAAGGACTGTCTGGCAACTTCCCACTGAGTATCCAGCTAGGACTGTGCTACCAATAAGGGCTTTCGCTTGCATATTTAAGAGTCAAGTGGGAAAAATCCCTGCCACCAATCTTGCTGACAAACCAAGATGGCTGGTCTGTCATCAGTGCCTAGGAATATTGCCCAGGACAACCTGGCCCAGGAACCGGATCCAACACTGCCATAGAGGATAGGTTTGATTCTAACATCATGTTGCCAAACATTTCAATTTGGAGCCAACTCACGAACTCTGCCCAAGGAGACCCCGCTCATCTCCCCTCCAGAGGATGGTTAGTCACTGGGTAGTCGTTTTGATATCCAAAAGTGCAGGTTTGAGCTCGCACAAAATGGATAACAGGTACAAGGAACTCCCTGCAAGCCTGCTGCTGAGCACTGCTACCTACCCTCTGCTCAGATGCAGAATCCTACCCATTGAATGGTGATTCCACCAGTTGGAAGTTTGGAGTTTCAGCAACAGCTTATTTCTCTCTAATCACAGTACTAAGGTACCATCTTATACCTTAAGATATAACTGAAAGCCGTCTCTACTGATAGAAACTAGATTTTTGAAATAACAACAACTTGGATTTATATAGCGCCCTCCATGCTGGACTGCGTCTCACAGCGCTCCACAGCAACGGATCCTGGGACTGAGCAGGGGGAGTGGGAGGAAGGTTACCAAGGCGCGGTCGAAAAGAAAGGTCTTCAGCAGAGACCTGAAAATAGGAAGGGAGGGGGCGAGGCGAAGGGAGTGAGGAAGAGAGTTCCAGAGCTTCGGGGCATAGTGGCTGAAGGCACGGCCGCCGAGGGTGGAGCGGAGGACCCGGGGGACGAGGAGGAGGCCAGACCCAGAGGAACGAATGCAACGGGTACTGTTTTAAGGAGAGAGGAGGTCAGAGAGGTAGGGGGGTGCGACTTGAATACAAGGGTGAGGATCTTGAAATTGATCCTCTCTGGGATAGGCAGCCAGTGCCATCTGGCAAGGACTGGGGTGATCAGGGAGCGGAGTTTCGTGCGGGTGAGAATGCGGGCGGCAGAGTTTTGAACGATTTGGATTTTATGGATGGGAGACCGGCGAGGAGGGTGTTATAGTCCAGCTGAGAGGTGACAAAGGCATGGACCAGGGTTTCAGCAGCTTTTGGAGTGAGGTATTGGCGGAGACAGGCGATGCGTCGGAGGTGGAAGGAAGTGGTGCTGGTTAGGGATTGAATGTGGGGGAGAAAGGATAATTGGGGGTCGAATCTGACGCCTAGGTTGCGTACGGGTTTGGAGAGTTTTAGGGGGAGGTTGGGTAGGTGGAGAAGGTGAGAGCCATGAGATTTTAGATGTTAATGAGAACCAAAGAGTATGACTTCTGTCTTGTCAACATTCAGCTGAAGGAAATTTGCGCTCATCCAGCCCCTGAGATCTGATAGGCAGGCTGACAGAACATCAGGGGACTGAGGGGTCGCAAAGAGAGGTGGAAAAATAGAGTTGGGTGTGGTCTGCATACATGTGGAAGTGTACCCCATGTCTGCGGATGGCATCCCCAAGAAGGAGCATATAGATCAGAAACAGGAAATAAGGCACATTTCACCATCCTATTTCTTCCCTCCTCTTCTGAGAGTAACAGGGTACCAGCAATCCTCTAGGACCTTACGAAATCAGTGTTTTTTAATGTGCAAGTCTAGACAGTGCACCCTGACAGGCTGTTCATTCATGCAATACATTTTCAACCTATTGAAACCTATCAGACTTTTATCAGATTACCTGCTACTTTTTCCAGACCTACACGAAACATAAAAAGCAGGGCCTTTCTACTTGGATCAGGGGAATATTCAAACCACATCACTGTAATGTTAATCGAGGTGCCAACTTTTCCACATCAAACCATAACTAGATGAACAATAGAGGTTACATGGCTCTATCTTTTTCCCACATATGCCTTAGTTTCAGTTATTATTTAATTAAAATTCTACTTTTTTCAATCATTTGTAGATCTCTGATTTGTTGGGCATGGGTCTAGGAACAGTGATTTCTGTTTTGTCATTGCTTTTGATACTTTGATTTGTGTTCCTCCCCTTTCTGCTGCAGTAACTCAGGATTAAGTATTTTGTAATGGCACAGAATATAAAAGTAAAGTAGAACAGATATGACAGTAAACATAAATGGCAGGTTTCAAAGTTAAATTGAATAAGTAATCACAGTACAATTTGTAACAGTACATACCATCCTGTACCTCTAAACAGAAATACAATAATGACAAAAGTGGACAATTGCTCAGTGGAATGTTAACTGGTCGTCACCGTGAGTTATTATTCAACCAATAGTAAAATGGACTCAACTAAATTGACTCCTTATTTTACTTAAATATAACTGCATCCGAGTCACAGAACGATCTGAATATGCAATAAAAATTCCAGAAAGCAAGCCTACTGATCCTGTGGCTGCCAATCGTTCAAATCAGTATTATGTACACTGACCAGCAAACCAAATTCTGAGCTGTTGACAAACATTTTCAGTCATTTAACACACTATGTGATAAAATCAGTCAGCCTTACCTCATGTGATAAAAATCAAGTAACTGGCATATTTCATGTTGCTCTTTGAAACACAGCATATCTGCAGCGATTACACTGTTGAAGAAAGACAGAGGAAACGGAACATTCAGGTATCCTGTAGAGAAAAAAGGGTTCTGTAAGCAATAGCAATTGAATCAAAATGCAACTAGTTAAATGTGATGCAGAAATGCATGAGGAACAAATATTATGAAGGTCTCTAACATTCATCGCAAGGCTAAGGAAGATTAATTTCATTCATTAATTTACCATTCGCCTGCTGATCTCAAAAAATATTTGAGTGCAATACAACAATACCAATTTGCATTTATATAGCACCCATCACACAGGATACTGTCCCAGAGAGCTTAAATAGTATTACAATTACCTATTACAATAGTGTAAAAAGGCTGCAGGCAGCCACAATTCTGTTCAAGATTATTCTGAGTTCTATTTCTCAAATCCAAACTAAGAACATACACTTTATTAATAATGTGTTATAAGCCCCAATACAATTTCACTTCCAAAATACTGAGTCGGACTCTTCTAGCAGTAGATGTTCAAACAAAACAAACGTTTGAAACATAATACAGTATTTTAAACATGCTTTCCTGAGTATTTTCCAACTAAGCATCAGCAGCAAACCAAATTACATTGTTCAAAGTTTTGAAAGATCAACTAGCTAAACAGAATTAAAAATGGTCTTACTCAAATGGTTAGGTTCTCCTCATGGCACAATTCAGAGAGCTCTTACTGGATCATACTGACATACCTTGGAAAATAGTTTTAAATGGAGGGACAAAATGTTATAAGTGGTGAAAAACACACTTTTAGCCAGGGCTGCACAAAGCTTTGGAGCTTCAAAGGTCTGCAGATTTAGCATTGCTTGGATGCTCAAAGGTCAAGCCAATACAAGTGTCAATTCCCTTCACATTGTGCATGCATGAGCGGCCCAATTTTCATTCCCTCGAGGTTACAAAAGTGGTCAAAGGATTTTGGTGCTTGATATATCCACATGTTCAAAGCCTCCCAAGGTTTGGTCTTGAGAGCACATCACTAACAGTTCACAAGCCGCATAATAATCCCTCCAAAAAACAATAATAAATTGGTCATTTTCAATCCACCACTGTTTGTGGGACACTGCTGTGCGCAATTGGCTGCCACGTTTCACCTACAAATATACGGTCAATTCACTTTACAGTCTATTCTGTGAAGCGCTTTGAGACGTCAAGAAGATGTGAAAAGCGTTATATCAAGTGCAAGGATTATTATTTTTATTCACAAAAAAAGTCTAATAGCATCTGACAGAACAGCACATTTGAAGGCGAGATGTATAGCCATAGTAGGGAAGGGCACATAACTATCATAAGAGGAGAATGCAGGAATTACTCTTTTACATGATATATTGGTTTGTGTTGTATTCCTGATAACTCAACCCCGGCTTAACTCGTCACTTTCACTTAAGTCATCATGCTGTCAATATCCCGGCCACATCTATTAATGTATTTACACATATGCTTAACTGGTATAACTCATCACTTTTCCCTTGGAGTGACAGCTATCAGAAGTTTACTGTATATATTATAAAGTTGCAATCAGGCCAAGACAAGGAAATGAAAAAAACCTAGGACACAGTTTAAAAGGTAGTAAAGAGGCAGGTGAGAACTAATGTGTAATATTAATGAATATATATTCAATTTTCTCCAACTTAATAAAGGATAACCTATTTAAAACACCTGTCAATATATTACAACACAGACAATATATTACTGTTTGATAGACAAATGTTACACATTACACAAAAGGAAATATGAATAAAGGTTCAAACAAGGTTTAGAGTAGTGTTTGCAGAGACCTGGGATCACATTTCCAGAAAACCGCCCACAGTAATTTATACTCGGGATGAGAGAAACAATAGCTAACAGGACAATGGCACAAAATGTCAGTAATATTTCTAATTTCAAATTGTGGTGCTCCGAAAATTATCAATTTAACCAGGGATTTTTCAATCTATAATCAATGCCAGTATACAATTCAGCATATTAAAGCTGTGGACTCCCTATGCGGTATTTTCCATGGGATAAGCATTCCATACAATGTCATGTCTATGCAGACTTCTGCAATGAATGTTTGTACTGATTGCCGAGGCAGTCTCTTCTCCTTATCCAATGCACTTCCCTTCACATGTAGCCCGGCCAATGACCAGTTGACATGTGTATGCCAGTTATCCACCACCAAACTCAGTTTATCAGATGACCTGATAGGGCTTTCCAATTTAATGCTGACAATGTTGCTTGTTTGACTGAATACATTTATCCTTCAGGGATGCCCCAAAATATCAAACCAATTTACAGATGGAATAAAAAAGTAATCCTGTTCTATTTATGATCAATCATTATGATTAATAAATTCTGTAAATACTACACTTCTATGAATAGGGGAGGAGCCAGGACATTAACAGCATTATAGCAGTGAAACTAAAACATTAACCCATTTAACTGCTCCTTGAATCCAGATTACATTTTCTTACTGATACAATGCAATATACATTTATATAGAGACTTTCATGTTAACAGGACTTCTCCAAGTGCTTTAGACTGCTAGCTGAGCACTTGAGCTCAAAAGTGAGAGTGGGACAAACATTAGGAGAAAAGGGAGGGGAGGCGATCATAGGCAAAGTCGAAGAGGTGGGTTTTAAGATGGAATTTAAAGACAAACATATAGAGAAGGGATGAGTTCAAGAGATAAAGGCAGAGATTACGGGCATAAGAGACTGAAGGCTCGTCCCTGGATGGTGGCATGGAGGGATTAACGGGCATATCATTGATAAATGTATAGAGTACTCAATTTGTAAAGTTCACCTCTATTCTATCACAACTGTAGTAGCTAGTGATATGATATTCCATTTTCTCCTGTTCTTTACCACCAACAAATAACATAGTGGGTTCACAAACTGAGCTGCGCTATTTTGGAATGGAAATGACAGTTTTCCCCTTCCCTCTCTCCAACAATCAAAGGGTAAAGGAAATTGGAATGTTCTATTAACTCACACAGTTATCACACATATCCAACCATTCGGTTACAAAGTATTTCAGTACAAATGAGAGGAAGGCTCCAGTGTCTATTCTCTCTACTGAGGAACTAACTTACAACAGGGAGTGAGTGCATTCTTTTTTCCTCCAGAAAAGACAATGCATTCATTACTGTTCATCATTATAGCAGTTTGTCAAAGTACAGAATTTCTCATTAATTAGGATGAACAGATATTTTCCATGGATTGTTAAGGCATTTTTTACAATTCAGAAATGGTCCAAGCTTTGATCAACTTGATACCTAATAATTAACACCATAGATTTAGAAACATAGAAACAGGAGTAGGCCATTCAGCCCCTTGAGCTTGTTCTGCCATTCTACAAGACCATGGCTGATCTGTATCTCAAGTCCAATTACCCGCCCTTGCCCCGTATCTCTTAATACTGACTTAACAAATATCTATCGACCTCAGTCTTGAACATGTGAATGGATCCAGCATCCACAGTTAATACTTTACCAAATAACTTGTCTATGTGTTTGTACATTTATTCTGCACAGTACTAGACTGCTCCTTCTGCCAGTTATTAAAATAATAAGTTTTTATTGTACAGCAATGAACGAATGTTGCTATTTAAAGGAGCTACAGTCATTTATAAATCTTGGTCAGATGAACCTGCTTCCCACAAAAAAAACTTCATTTGAGACAGCTGCAAATATCACTGTGTCACAAGCAACTGCAGCACGGTACAAGACATCATCTGAACTTTTGTTTTAAAAAAAACTTACAAAAGTGTGCAACTAACTTTTTGAAATATCTCATGCCAAAATTCCCACCCAATGGAACACTCAAGAGGACTTTTTGTTTAAGAAATATACACACGCAAACACATGCACATGTAAAGCCACGATTTTCTGGTACACTGCCATACTGCACATTTAGAAATACTAAAAAAAGGCAAAGAAATATGTAAACTGTCCTTTGATCTTTTTTGTGCCAGAAATCTTAAATGCCAATATTTACAGAGCCTTCATTTGAAATTGCTGAAGTTCAGACATGTTGTAAAAAGTTCAACTCAATGTGTGCCAAAACAGTTGTTGCAGAAACCCCTGTGGTGCAACTTTGACTAGAATGAGTGGGAGGTATCTACTGGAAAAAATAGTCTCATTACTACATCTTCAATTATCTGATTACTTAAATTTTATATATAGTTTTTAAAGCTTAGAGGAGAGGTTGCCAATTTGACTACAGATAAAACCGTACATATAAAATGGGCCAAGCACAAACCCAACAGTATCACTGTGCTGTCCTGGCAAGGGAATCATACTTGCTTTTTGTATCTAATCAAATCAGGATACTGTCAGTACATCTGAGCTATTGAAGTTATCAAACTGTACTCCCTTGGCCTCTTTCACCCATTTATTATTTTGTAAATCTGGAGAACATTTGATTCCAGTATTCCTTTCCATACTGAATGCTGCCTCATATCCTCTGATAATTTATATCCCATCTCATGTTCAGTGCCTTCTGTGACCATCTCCTTTACCCCTTGATTTCAGTCATTTGATGTGGTTATCTAAAATAAAAACACTGGGTTTTCTACAACACAGTGACAGACTGCAACTTTTGAATATGAAAGATCATCAGAACTGAAGCAGCTTCTGCAAATCACACTTTTAGCTCTGGTTAAAGAGCCATACCCAAACCGTTAAATCTATTTTACTCTTTCAGATGCAGATGGACTTTTATAACTAGCTAATGATGTAAAAAAATACATAAAATTATTTTTTTTATGTTTACCTCTAAAGCCTACATCAAATCCTTATTAAGGATACAATCTATAAGATCTAAACAATAATCCTCGCATTTGCATCTTTGCCTTATGCCTTAAAAACAGGTGTCATCACCCCCATTCTCAAAAAACCTTCCTTGGACCCATCCTATTCTCCTATTCCTCTCCAAGGTCCTGGAACGAGTCGTCACGTCCCAGCTTCGCTCTTTCCTTTCCTGCCATTCCCTATCTGAACCTCTCCAATCGGGTTTCCAAACAGCCCTGGTCAAAGTCACTAACAACATTCTGAACATCT